CACATCGGAGAAGGAGGTCCGAGTGTGACGCACGGGCTGGCTGCCAGGATGGGACGGGAAGGGGCCTGCCCACTCGGTCCTGTTTCCTCGGCCGTGAAATGGAGAACCTCCCTTCCAGGCAGGCTGCACCTGAGGGAGGTCAAGCCCTGAGCTGTCCTTCCAGCCTTGGCACCAGGTGTGAGCAGGGCACACAGGGAGTGCCGCCGGGCGGAGTTGTGATGGGGAGACAGACTTGAAATGGGTGAAAAATGGATACTGTCAGCCCCTAAGACAGAAGAGCTGCCCCCGGCTCCCACAGTCCTGCTTGGGATTCCTGAGGGGCAAGGCCAGAGTCCAGGAGGTCAGAGTCCAACGGTCCTCGCACAAATGAGAAAACTGAGTTCCCCGCAGGAGGGGCCAGACTTGACCGGGGTCTCCCCCGGAGCGGACACCGCTCTCCCCGACCTCGGATCCCCTCCGCGATCCAGGCGGGGCTGCGGGAGGCGGCGGCCGAGGAGGGAACGAGCGAGCGGCTGCATCCTGCCCGGGTGCGTCAGGAAGGGCCGAGCGGGAAGGAAGGCACACCCCTCCCCCGCCGCGGCCACACCTGGGCTCCGCAGGCGGCAGGGGGGCGGCCCGCGCCCGGCTCCAGCGAGTCTGGGCCGCCGCCCCGTGGGGCCGCCAGATGGGCCGGCCGCCCGCCCGCCCCGCGGAGCCGGCAGGAAGCGCGCCCGGGCGCCTGGAACGCGGCCGGAGGGGCGGGGGCGGGGCCGGGAGGGCAGGGGGCGGGGCCGGGTTTGATCACGCCCCTCGAGGGGCGGGGCCATGGCCACTCGCAGAAACTGAGCTTTTCAATCTGCCCTGCCTCTCCCGGCTGGGACTCCTTGGGCCTGTCGCTGCCCTCTCTGTGCCCCAGCTTCCCACCTGCAAACGGCGCTGATGATCATTCTGTGGCTTCAGAGCGGTTTTCCCCTTTCTGTTTCTTGGTTTTCTTACCCAGAAAATGGCTCCCGCGATGAGCTGTCCCCAGCACCCAGCCAGCACCCAGCCGAGCGCCCAGAAGATGAGGGAGGGAGGGAGGGTGATCATTGTCAGCGGAATGATCTGTTGAATGTCCCGAGTCTGGGACAGTCCTGGAGGCCTGGCACGTAATAGGCGCTTCATAAGCGGACACGCTCACGTTGTCTTGTGTCTACTGCTTACTCAGTGTGTGTGACTCCGGGCAAGTGGCTTCCGGTCTCTGAGCCTCAGTTTCCTCACCGACCTGATGGGTGGCTGTGAACACGGAGTGACAAATCCACGGAGAGCACGTATAGTGTATAGGACCTCGACAGATGACATTTCTGGAAGAGTGTACAAGATATGAGGCTAAGAAAGGTTCAAAGGTGTCTTGGGAAGAAATTTTTGCTGTATGTGTACCGTATTTTCCGGCGTATAAGACGACTTTTGAAACGAAAAAAAGCCTGCTCAGATTGGCCAGAGTCAGAGAGGCGGTCTATTAAAAAAAGAACTGGTGCCAAAACCGGTTTGGCTCAGTGGATAGAGCGTCGGCCTGCGGACTGAAGGGTCCTGGGTTCGATTCCGGTCAAGGGCACGTACCGTGGTTGCGGGCACATCCCCAGTGGGGGGTATGCAAGAGGCAGCTGGTCCATGTATCTCTCTCATCGACGTTTCTAACTCTCTATCCCTCTCAATTCCTCTCTGTGTAAAAAAAAAATAAAAAAAAAACTGGTGTTGCCTTGGAAGTGGGGGGTAGTCTTATACAGCGAATAGAGGCCTTTCCTATGTTTTAACTAAAATTAGGGGGTCATCTTATATGCCGGAAAATACAGTAATCTTTTGTATATTTTAAATCACTAGAGTTCTGAGCCAAGTGAACATATTTTTTAAAAACAAATGCAATTGAAAATAAAAATGAATCCACCTCTAGCAAAAAGAAATATTAACTTATCTCCATCTAGCAAAGGAGGCATCTACTAAGTGTACCGGTTAATCATGAGGATTTTTTTCAATAGATGGAGTTACACATATGTTGATATATATGCGATTTGATATGTATGCTATTTTGTTGTATTGACAAGCTTCAAAACTTCATATGTCACATTTTCTGAAGGTGTTAATATCCTAGATATTTTTATGCTTAAAAATGTCAAATTTCATGCCAAAAGACCATTTGTGGGAAGTTTTAATTCATTGCTTTATTTTGAAGAAAAGTCCTGCTGAAAATTGTCATATACTTCGGAAAGCTTATGGTAAACATGCTCCATCTCAAGACACTTGTAAATGCTGGTTTAAACGTTTTAAAAGTGATGATTTTGATGTGGAAGACAAAGAACATCCAGGTCAACTGAAAAAGTATGAAGACAAATTGCATTGGATGAAGATGGGTGTCAAACAGAAAAACAACTTGAAGAAAGATTAAACGTTGCTCAGCAAACAATTTCCCATCATTTACAAGCAATGGGGAAGATTTAAAGGAAGGAAAATAGTGCCACATCAACTGAACAAAAGACAAATGGAAAACCAAAAAGTCATCAATAAAATGTTGTTTCAACAGCACTAAAGAAAGTTTTTTTTGCATTGAATTGTGACTGGCGATGATGTTTCTCTTGAAATTATCATGTTTTCTTTGGATTACAAAATCTGTATTACTACCTGGTTAATAGTTAATCCACACTATTAACTGGTTAATAATTAATCTGCATTATTAACAGTAATGTGGATTTTGTAATAAAAAAACACGATAATTTCAAGAAAAACATCAAAGTGCTTTATTCAAAGTAATGTCCATCGCTAGCTACACATTTCCCCATCTTTCAGGTAACTTGTAGATACTCTCCCAATAGAACTTTTCTTGTTTTGAGGCAGACTATTCAGAGACTCAATTTTCCACTTCTTTGTACGTTTTGAAGTGCTGCTCAGAAAGTGTGTGTGCCATCGATGGGGAAAAAGTGGTAATCTGAAGGAGCAATACAATAAAATAGCATACATATCAAAACGCATATATATCAACATATGTGTAACGCCATCTATGTTTTTTAAATCCCCATTATTAACCGGTACACCTAGTAAAACTCAGAGGGGCGAAACCTGCCCAGTGTCACAATGAGCTTGGGAATGGCAAAGATAAGATCTGAATGCAAATTTGCTGGACTCCACATCAAATATAGAGAAGTGAGGAGAAGAAGTTCACCTCTCTTTTTTACTCTTTTTCTAAAATATATTTTTATTGATTTCAGAGAAGAAGGGAGAGGGAAAGAGAGAGAGATGAAGAGAAAGAATAATTGATCGCCTGCCTCCTGCATGCCCCCTACTGGGGATCGACCTGCTACCCAGGCCTGTGCCCTGACCGGAATCGAACCCGGACGAGGCTCTATCCACTGAGCCAAACCAGCGAGGGCTCATCATTTACGCTTCATCATTGCTACCAGGAGGGCATCCCAGACTGAGCAGAGGGAAAAGACCAGCAGAGTGAGGAAGAGTAAGAGGTGAGAAAGGTGAGCAGACCCCACAAGGCACAGCAAAGAACTTGGGTTTAATCCTGGAGGCAGTGGGGAGCCAAGGAAGGATTCTGACCAGTCCTTTCTAAGCATTAGAAATGGGAAAGACCACCTGAAACCGGTTTGGCTCAGAGGATGGAGTGTCAGCCTGCGGACTGAGGGGGTTCCAGGTTCAATTGCGGTCAAAGGCATGTACCTTGGTTGTGGGCACATCCCTAGTAGGGGTTGTGCAAAAGGCAGCTGATCAATGATTCTAACTCTCTATTCCTCTCTCTTTCTCTCTGTAAAAAATCAATAAAATAAAAATAAAATAAAATAAAATCTTAAGAAGAAGAGGAGGAGGAGGTGGAGGAAACGGGAAAGACCAGCCTTGTCCAGTGTGGCTCAGCTGGTGGAGTGCCATCCTGGGCACCAAAAGGTCACTAGCTTGATTCCTGGTCAAATGCCCAGGTTGCAAGTTTGGTCCTTGTCAGGGTGCATGTGGAAAGCAACTGATCAATGTTTCCTCTCTCCCTTTCTCTCTCTAAAATCAGTAAAAACTGGTTTTTTTTTAAAGGAAAGAAAGAAATGGGAGCCAGGGATGGGGCTCCAGGCCACTGATGGTGATGCTCTGAGTGACAAAAGGGCAAGGGCCATGGGGGTGGATGGACAAGAGAGACTGAGGGCTGGAGCTGGCCAGAGCATGGGCCCAGCCATCCCTCAGCAGCATGGCAGGCACAAACCCAGTGCCCCAATTCTACTCACTGATTTCCTCTTCCATACCACTGCCAGCCTTTAAAATGCCCTAGGACCCTCAAGGCCCCTGGGTCAGGTCAGGTGCCAAGAGGAAGCCTGAGTTCCCAGCAGCTTGAAGCTGAAGGGAACCAGGGAGAGGAGAGTGCTGGGTAGAAAACAGGACTGATGTGGTTCTCAGAGTCAAGTGCCTGTTTGCACACATTTGTGCCCGAAGCCCCACGCAAGTGCAATCTGCCTCACGCCACATACAGACGGCAGGGTGCATGTGTGCAGGCCCGTCCCTGCAGGGGCGCGGGAGGTGGCCGATCTGTACAACTAGGAACAGCAGCCACCAACACTGAGCATGACTATGTGCCAAGCACAAGTTTGAGCGTTTGCATGCGCTACAGCCTTCATACTCACATCGCTCCCTGTGGGTCTCCGTTACCCAGGCGGAGGAATAACGACAGAGAAGGGACCTGTCCACACAGCAAGCAAGTCTTCACCTGAGGCCGCCACTCCCTTTGTCCTTTTTCGTGTCATTAAATATTCATTTGTAAAAACTGTAATTTTTTTAAACCCTCGCCTGAGGATATGTTTTTATTGATTTTAGAGAGAGAGGAAGGGCAGAGGGTGGGCCGAGAGAGAGAGAGAGAGAGACAGAGAGAGAGAGAGAGAGAGAGAACATCTGTTGCCTCCCAAAGGATCCTAAAGATGTGCCCGGACTGGAAATGGACCCCAAAACTTTTGGTTCCTGACAATGTTCCAGCCAATGTGCCATGAGCCAGGGCTAGAAAAACTCCTATCATCCAGGAACTACATCTGTGCCTTGTAGAAAATTAGAATGTGTGTTTATAAAAGGGGGAGGGAACTAAAACAGCAAATTCCTACCATCCAGAGATTACTGCTGTTAACAATTTTACATAGATTTCAAATCTCCTTTTACACCAACCATGCACTTTTTTAAAAATATATATATTTTATTGATTTTTTTACAGAGAGGAAGGGAGAGAGAGAGAGTTAGAAACATCAATGAGAGAGAAACATCGATCAGTGCTTCCTGCACACCCCCTACTGGGGATGTGCCCACAACCAAGGTATTGTACATGCCCTTGACCGGAATCAAACCGGGGACCCCCTCAGTTTGCAGGCCGACGCTCTATCCACTGAGCCAAACTGGTTTCGGCTACCATGCACTTTTTAATGCAAATCACGCCTATGGTGCATATTATTTTATATCGATTTTGCTTTCACAGTCAACAACCTTCCACTCCCCATGTTGGTATGTTGTCATCTGCTATAATAACCTGATAGCAGCCAACCTCTTTGTCTTTTTTTTAAAGTACACCAAACAGCCAACCTGCATGAGCAGACAGACCCGCCAGGGTCTACCCAGGGCCTTTCCTTCCTCCCCTCTTTGCCCTGCTCTCCTCAAAGCTGTGATGGCTGAACACTGTGCCAGCCTGGTGCCAGCCCTGAGGGGCGGGGGGAGAAGACCAGATAAGACTGAGGCCATTGGTGCTGCGTTCCAGGCCTCCGCATGTCTGTCCCCGGCAGGCACACACCTTCCCCTGCCCCACTGGGCTGCTAAGCGCTGGCTGCCCACCTGCTCTCCGGCCACTCGGGGTCCAGCTGGGGCCGTGGAGTGGGCGAGGGGAGCTGGAAGCGCTTGGACACACGTGTCGCAGATGGCAGAGACGCCCCGGGGCCTGGGCGGGAAAGCCAGCTGCCAAGGTGTGGAGCTGCTGGGAGGGGCCGAGCCTCGTGCTGCCTGACCCGGGTCCTCCCTGCACAAGAGGCTGTCGGTGCCGTTATGAGTGTGTGTGTGAGAGTGTGTGAGTGCAAGTGTGTGGGTAAGTGTGAGAGCGGTCAATGCGTTTCTCCCGGGCTGTCTGTGAGCGTGTGCTCACGTGTCTGGGTCTATCTTGATACGTGAAGAGTGTGTGTTTGTGAGAACATCTGTGAGCGAGTGCCTGCCCTGGTGTGTGTGTGAGAGAGAGAAGGGGATGTGGTGTGGTGGTGTTTGAGTTTGGAAAGGCTTTGCTTATAGGAGCTGGTGAAGACGTGCTGTTCGACTTTCTGCCCGTGTGTGTGTGTGTGTGTGTGTGTGTGTGTGTGTGTGTGAGAGAGAGAGAGAGAGAGAGAGAGAGAGAGAGAGAGAGAGAGAGAGTGTCTGTGTCCCAGGTTCAGGTCTCGTTCTGTGGCCCATACTCCCCTCTGCCCAGTCACTCCCAGGCCCAGTGTCTCCGGGGCCTCCCTGTGTCTGCTCTCTGGCTTCATGGGGAACTGCCGGTGGAGCACAGACTCCGGAGTTAGACAGGCTGTGAAGCTGTACCTCAGCCATTCTCCCTCGGTGTGGCCTTCGCCAACTAACTTGAAGCCTCAGTTTCTCATCTGTAAAATGGGGGGGACCTATGCCGAGACTGGTTTGGCTCAGTGGATAGAGCGTGGGTCTGCGGACTGAAAGGTCCCAGGTTCAATTCCAGTCAAGGGCATGTACCTTGGTTGCGGGCACATCCCCAGTGGGGGGTGTGCAGGAGGCAGCTGATCAATGTTTCTAACTCTATCCCTCTCCCTTCCTCTCTGTAAAACATCAATAAAAAATATTTTAAAATAAAATAAAATAAAATGGGGGTACCTGGTGACTGGTTATGGTTGTTACTCAGGTTATTCTTTTTTTAAAAAAATATATTTTATTGATTTTTTACAGAGGAAGAGAGAGGGATAGAGTTAGAAACATCGATGAGAGAGAATCATCGATCAGCTGCCTCTTGCACACCCCCTACTGGGGATGTGCCCGCAACCAAGGTACATGCCCTTGACCGGAATCGAACCCGGGACCTTTCAATCCACAGGCCGATGCTCTATCCACTGAGCCAAACCGGTCCCGGCTCTCTCTCTGCCGCCTGCCTCCTTTGTAAACACTGGCCAGTCCTCTCTCCTCCACTAAACTGATAACGCCTTTGTGTTTTATGACTAAAACCTGTTTTCCCCCAACTTGCTCAGCAACTTCAGCAACTATTTGCTAATCGCCCTGGGTTTACCTGGGACACATTTTACACGAATGAAAAAGCCATTCAGTGAGCGGCCTGGGAAAAGCCCCTCGGAGATGCTGATTAGTGTGCGGCTGGGAAAAGCCGGGGCTTTAACTGTTCAGGCCCAAGTGCTCAGAGCAGTCGGTGGGAAAGTTGCAACTGAGAGGGGGAAAAAGGGTTTTTCTTCCTTTAAAAAAATCGTTTTGTTTTCGATCTGTGTCTCTTTTGAGCCCCAAAGGATGGAGATGAACTGAAATAAGGAATTAAACAAGAGGGGAAATCCCATTATCTGGTGTTTTTTAATGGGTCCCTCAGGATTCCACGGGACTCCCATCCCAGCCGCTGTGTGGTCCAGGCCTGAGAACACGGAGCCCCCCAGCCCCCCAGCCCACGCCCACCTACCACCCAGGCCCAGCGGCCGTTTCCCAGAATTCACATGGTAATGAAGGCATCCATCTTCTCCCAGACACACACTGAGCCCCGACCCTCCCAGGCCGGCGCACAATGGCCCCAGAGCCTCGGCCCCACCACCTGTTGGATTTTCCCAGGGAAGGGAGGGAGGGGGGAGAGCTCCTTCCGCCCAGCCCCCAGCCCCCGGCCCCACTTGCACCCTGATCCTGGGAGTCGGACGGTTAGATCGCCCTTGTCCTGGACTCCCCACCCACCCTCAGCAGTCTGCACCCTCGTCTGCAGGACGGAGGGGGAGGTCCCCGAGTTGCAGTGTGGCTGGGAGAGTGCCCCAGGGGGTGGTGGAGACAGGCTCTCTCACTGGGCAGGCTCCTGGAGAGTGAGCTCAGTGACAAGCTGTCAGTCACACACCGGTTCACGCTGGACCAGACAGGGTGCAGCCCAGTGTGTCCCCCCACACCCTGAGGGTGGCGCTGCTAGGACCCCATTTGCAGAAGGAGACTCGGGCCCAGGTCACCTACTGTTTGCCAGGACTTGTGCCTGGCGGACTTCAGACGTGGACCGCACGCTGACTCTTCCACTGCGTGAGGCTGGCATGGTTTTCCCATCGGTTTGTACCCTCCGGGAACCACAGTGCTCCCTGAGGAGACACAGTTCCTCCGGTGATAAGACACCGAGGCTGGGGAGGAGGCCGGGGGAGGAGGCCGAGGGAGGTGTCTGGGAAGAGGGATTTTTACCGATTACAGCAAGTAACAGGAAACGGCCACTGCTTCTTTATTTTTTTTAAATATATTTTTACTGATTTCAGAGAGAGGAAGGGAGAGGCAGAGAGAAATAGAAACATCAATCTCTGCCTCCTGCACTGCCCTCTACTGGGGATGGAGCCTGAAACCCGGGCATGTTCCCTGAGCGGAAATCGAACTGGCTATCTCTAGGTGCAAGGCCCGAAGTTCAACCACTGAGCAACACAGGCTGAGCAGGTCATCGCTTCTTTAAGTGGAATCATGGACATCACAGGCTCCCCACCCCACCACTGCCGCTCCCCAGTGTGTAAGCTTCCTCTCCTGCACCTTGTTCAAACCCAACCCCCACCTTAAATACTGAAATGGAGGCTTTCTATGCATGTTTGGGTGTACGGGTAAAATTAAGGAGTATTTACATTTTGCTTAGAGCCTTTCTATATTTCCAAATGCTTTGTGATGGATATGGGTTGTCACTTTACACAGCTTTAATACAAGGAATATGTTTTTACAAAAAATAAAAAGCAAATCCTACATACAACATCCATCCGAATCCTCCACCTGGTCCCATGCCCACAGCCACAGGTAACCCCTTGCTGGGGTCCTGGGCATTTAACAAGGATTTTGGGGGGAAACCTTGAACCCATTAGATCCCAGAAAGAAGCCAGTCACAGAAAACTATATTTTATATGATTCCACTTATATGAAATGTCCAGAATAGGGAAGTCTATCAAGAGTACTAATAGGTGTGGGCTTTTTTGGGGGGGGTGGGGGGGTTGATGAAAATGTTTGAAAATTAATTGTAGTAATGATTGCACAACTCCTTGTTTGGGTGAAGGGTATACTAAAATGGCTGGTATGTACGACATACAAATTATATCTCAATATAATAAGAATCTCAAAGCTGTTAAAAAGAAAAAAAAAAAGTAAATTCTAGAAACAGGGACAGGGTGCCCCACCTCCCAGCCCACTCCGTCTCCCAGGGGGCGGTGATGCGGTGAGGGTGAGCAGCTCTCAGGCCCCATCCTGTACCCCTCGAGTTCCCCCACTCCTGAAATCACACGATAGCAGGGCAGGGGGGCGGGGGGAGCCCCAGGGGCATCGCACTCTCCCTTAAACTTTTTTTAAAAATATATTTTATTGATTTTTTACAGAGAGGAAGGGAGAGAGATAGAGAGCTAGAAACATCGATGAGAGAGAAACATTGACCAGCTGCCTCTTGCACACCCCCTACTGGGGATGTGCCTGCAACTCGGGTACATGCCCTTGACTGGAATTGAACCTGGGACCTTTCAGTCCGCAGACCGACGCTCTACCACTGAGCCAAACCAGCTTCGGCTCCCTAAAACTTTTATGGGTCCAGATCTCTCTCCTTTTCATTTCTATTCAATCTTACTTTTGAATAGGTCAGACATGCTCATGGGGCACAATGTAAAACGCACAGACATTTCGCTTGTCCTGGTTAGAGGCAGCCTGTGGTCAGCGTGCAGGCGTCTTCAAACTACGGCCCGCGGGCCACATGCGGCCCGCAGAGGAGTCTGATCTGGCCCGCCAGGTTTTTTGGGCAGTGAGCGCAGCCGAGGTGTTACAGTAGGAATTAGTAGTTCATATAGTCCGGCCCTCCAGCTCTCTGAGGGACCGTGATCTGGCCCCCACTTTAAAAAGTTTGAGGACCCCTGCTTTAGATTAAGGCGGCCAGACGTCCCACTTTTGGCGGGACAGTCCCGATTTTTAACCATTTGTCCCGCGGCCCTAACCCTAACCCTAACCCTCACCCGGGACGCATTAAAAATCGGGACTGTCCCGCCAAAAGCGGGAGGTCCAGTCGCCTTAGTTTAGATAACAAGCAAATGTGCATTTGACGCTTTTTCTTTTGTTTCTCCTGTTTTAAACACAAGTGATGGCAGTCCACATATACCACGTGCAACTCGTTTTGTTTTGCTTTTTCCCCGCTTGACAGTGCACCGCGGGGACCTCAGCAGACGGGGTAGCAGGGCGCGTCCTGGTTCTCCCTCACGGCTGCGTGTACTCCGTTACACGGAGAAGACGGCCTCCGTGCCCCCAGGGCCCACGTGACGGGCCCACGGGCTTCCCCCGCCGCCATCATTTCGAACACCGAGTGTATCTTTAGTATACATTTCCGGAAGTGGGAGCACCATCTCGTGATTTCCCAGGGCCATGTGGTTTGTTTGGTGTATGAGCCATTCTGCTCTTGGTGAACATTTGGGTTGTTTCTAACTGTAAGGGGGGCGGGGGCGGGGGGGGCTGCGTGAACACGCCCTGTGTTCCTCCCAGGCCCCTTTGCCAATGTGTTAGCTGCTGCTGGTCCTCTCCACCCCCCTCTCCAAAAATCCATCACATCACCCAAATCGGAGACCCGCCCAGGAGCCTCCAGGTAAGAAACCCTGGTCTCAGTGAGCGGCTGTCATGCTGCAAACGGAGAAACACGAGGTCCACGCTGGCAGGGCCGTGTCTCACGTACAGGGGGGAGGATGAGGGTCAGATCCTGAGTCTCCGCTGCCAGAACCCTCCCGGGCTCCTGCTTCGCCCAGAGGGAGAGCCGAGGGCCGCTGTGGCCTGGCCATGCCCTTCCCCCACCCACACCCCCTGACCTCACCTCCTAGCACCTCCCCCTGGCTCACCAGCTGACGTCACGGTCACGCTGGCCTCTGGACCGC